CCATTTATGGATTGAAACAAGCATCTCGCAGATGGAATCTTTGTTTTGAAGAGAAGGTTAAAGAATTTGGCTTTCTGCGAAGCGAATATGAATCTTGTGTATATGTCAAAGCAATGGGGAGTATAGTAAGCTTCCTCGTATTGTATGTTGATGACATACTACTCATAGGAAACGATGTCCCAACCTTGCAGGATGTCAAGTCCTGGCTTGGGAAATGTTTTTCTATGAAGGACCTTGGAGAGGCTGCTTATATTCTGGGAACAAGGATAATAAGAAACAAGGAAAAGAGACTAATAGGACTCATTCGGGATACATACTTGGATAAGGTACTAAAGCGTTTTAGTATGGAAAATTCCAAGAAAGGGGAGTTACCAATCCAAAGCAATACCAAGTTGAGTAAGACTCATAGCCCGAGTACAGAGGCAGAGATAGCTGATATGAGCCGAGTACCTTACGCTTCTGCAATAGGCTCTATCATGTACGCTATGACTTGTACTCGCCCTGATGTGGCCTTTGCTTTGAGCATGGTCAGCAAATATCAGGGGAACCCTGGTAGAGCTCATTAGATTGCGGTAAATAATATTCTTAAGTACTTACGAAGGACCAAGGAATGGTTTCTAGTCCTTGGTGGGAGTGATACTTAAGGGTACGAGTGTATAGTGACACTAGTTTTCAGATGGATCAGGATAATTACCGATCGCAGTTGGGCTGGGTCTTTACCCTAAATGGAGGAGCAATGACTTGGAAAAGTTCCAAGCAGGAGACTGTGGCTGATTCAACGTGCGAATCAGAGTACATTGCAACAAGCGAAGCGTCAAAGGAGGCTATATGGTTGAAGAACTTCATTGCAGACCTTGGAGTTATGTCATCCATAAAGGAGCCGATGGAAATTTTTTGTGATAATGAATGAGCGGTTGCCTTAACCAAGGAACCAAGAGATCATCGTAGATCTCGACATATCGACAGAAAATACCATTTGATCAGACATCGGGTAGAAAAGGGACTCCTTGTTGTGAAGAGGGTATCATCAGAAGAAAATCCAGTAGATTCCCTTACGAAGGGACTGAGTAGGGTCAAACACTTGCAGCACGCTAGGAGCATTGGGCTGAAGGATGATACAAGTTTGGATTAGATAGGAAACGTGTAATAGATAGTTTGTACTTGACATTTGATGAATAAATAAAGTTGTGTTATTTATAAGTAATGTTACTATCTTGTGTTGGTTATTTATCTATTGTTTCAATTTTGCATGTTTTGACTTCCTGAATAATAATATTATTCAAACGGCCCATAGTCGTTCATGTTGTGGAAGTACATGTGAATGAAGACTGTCATGAATTGTTTGTATATTGTCTAAATGGTTTTGGGCATAGAAAAGGTTTGTTGCAACGTTCATGAGTGCTTATGAATTTGAGTTGAGCATTAGAATAAACCTGCGTTTGCTGGTATCACTTCGTGGTGCTGTACCTAAAGTGATCGCAAAGCGATAATATCATATAGTCTTAAAACTTAGAGATATGGTTGTTGTTTGCTGGTTGGTTATCCATTGATGATATGTAAATGCATCAGTAACTTGATGTTATACAATACATTTTTGTGCATGATTCAATTAGTAAATAATAGATGCATATGAGTCGAAGTTAATCTGTTCCTTTTTTTTATGAGAATAAAGGTGATATCTTGGCTACTTGATGATTTGGTTTGACTTATATGCCGGGCCCGATCAGAATGAAGTTGATGTGTTCAACTAAATTCTATGTCGAACAAATCATAGATCAATAAACAAGTGCTGGACAATAAGCATTTTAAGCATGATATCTAGAACAGAGGATTGTACAATCCCTTATCTGAAGGACAAGTTACTGATCAGAGTTGACAACAAAGTATAAGAGCTACGATTGCAAATCGGATCCTGAAGTCATATGTGAGATATAGTTACTAGACTAATTCAAGTGGGAGACTGTTGGAATAGTGTCTAAGCCCGTAACAATATTTGGTATGTACTTGACCCGATTGTGTATGGTCATTTTGGGTTGCCTTCACCAAAGCAACTTGACAAGGTAATTTAAGGAGAAAGAGAGAATATTATGGTTTATTAATATATTATAAGAATAATATATTAAAGGAGAAATCATACTTATTTAATTAGTATTGGTCATAAATTAATTAGGAATTAATTTGGTGACTAAAAGAGATTAAATAAATAAAGGGGTATAAACTGTCAAATGTATGATAGTTGAGTTTTGGGCTAATGATACCTTATGGACTTAAGGGGGAACGAAATTATGATGGGGATCCATCATATTTTCGTCTAAGGCCTTATTCCAGAAGGTTCCTTAGGCTGCTTGGTGGCTAAGTTGTCCATTAGGGTTTAGACTTAAACCTTAGCAGTCTGCAAGTATAAATAAGACCCCTAGGCTATGAAAATTGGCTACACCTAATACGAAGAGAACCCTAGGGGCCGATTTTAGCATCTCTCACCCTCTCTCATATTTCCTTCTTGCTTGTGGGGTTTGTGAACCATTAGAGGAGTTACAATTGTGACTCTAAGCTCAAGATCAAGAAGACTACAAGGATTTCAAGCTATTTGATAGAGGTAAACACTTAGATATTTTTCATGATGTTAATTTCGAATTTTGTATGATATATATAGGTTTGTAATGTTGGATATAGTGTCTAAGTCCATAACTTTATTTGGTATGAACTTGACCCGACCCGGCATGGTCCATTTAGGTTGCATGGCATTGCAATACTTGGATAGACTAAATGAGAGAATAAGGCACTTATGATTATTAATATATTATAAGTTCTAATATATTAATAATAGTATTATTTAATTAGTATTTGATCAAGTATTAATCTAGTATTAATTTGGTGATCAAAGTGAGAATAATTAAATATATAGGGTTGATTATGACAATCATCAATTCTTTTATGGTGGATTAATGATCCATGGTTTATGGGTTTGGTTATAACCATATGGAGCTCCATGGATGGTCCATGGGAGTTACAAACCCATGGGTCATGAGAAATGAAGAGTCATGACAATTAGGGTTTACATTTGTAACTCCTAATTATGACACACTATAAAAGAAACCCTATAGCATGCAAAATTGGTACTAGTGTATTCTTGTGAGGGCATAGCCGATTTTGAAGTGTAGAAGTATTCTCTCTAGTTATTCCAAGGTTGTAGTGTTGTATGAAGCATTTGAGGCACAACATTTGGGGTGCTAGGCTCACAAAGTCTTGAAGGAATCCAAGCAACAACAAGGTATGTATTTCTACTAGTTTTTATGTTTTATGTAATCCCCATGCCATGCTAGTTAGGAAATAACCTTGAAAAAGAAATTTGCATGTATATAGAGAAAACATAGATTCAAGGTTATTAGGGTTGCGTGTACACTTAGTAAGTGTTAGAATGCTCAAAACCCAACAGTGGTATCAGAGCCTAGGGTTGTTTTCTGTATACTTGATGCGAAACTGCTTAAAAACGAAAAATCTGCTCATTGACGACTGGACTCGCCGAGTTCATGGGGAGAACTCGCCGAGTCCATGAACAAATTCATCCTAGTCGTCGAGTAGGATAATGCACTCGACGAGTAGGTGCGTGCAAGGCAGTCTTTTCGTGTTTTGTTGCTGGAAATGGATTAAAATCATTATCCCAATCTGTTTTGGACTTGTAAAACCTGTTTTTTCAAAATGATAATGATTATGTTAACCCATTTTACATGACTTTTAGTAATTTACAAGTATTGTATATGTTTATATGATTTCTTGAAAATTGCTTGGCATGAATTTGTGTTCTTATGAGTTTTTAGAAGATCATAGGAATTATGTGTAACCTCCATGTGTGTTTAATTCATGATCTTAATGGCAATAATGGTGTCCATAACTTGTCCTCAAGTTATGGATAACCAAAAGTCACTTCTTTAAATTGTGATTAAAAAACTAAAGAGGTTTCATAAAATGAAGAGTCTTCATTTTTATGAACCATTAAAACTCATAAGTTACAAATTGAAGAGACTTGGAATAGTTTCAATTCTTGCCCTCAAGTTTTGGAATTTGTAAAGTCTTACATTTTAATTCCATTTTTTTTTTTTGAAAAGTTAAAAAAAAAAAAATTCAAACTTTATGGACTTCATTAAATTAATTAAAGTGTCTAATTAAAAGAGTTAATAATTTCATAAAGAGATGGTTTAAGTTTAATTAAATTAAGACTATAATTTAATTAATAGATTAAACCACCAAGTATTTTAAATGTTTAAAATACACTCTTATACTATTATTATAATTTTAATTATATAGATATGTATAAGAATATGTCATTCTTACCGTTAGTAGGCCTCATTCACAAAGCCGGTCTATAAGGGGGGGTATAAGGTTGTTGCCTATAAAATGGTGATTTAATGGGTGTCCACTCTCACCCACCGCTTCCTTGATCGGTGGAGGGTCGTTAGCCGAACGGGTAGGATACGACTTTAAATACTCATTAAAAGTATAATGAATTATAAAGTAACTATAAATTATAAATTCCCAATCTTAGTTACCGGTTGGATTTGGTTTGCAGCATCGTAGACATATAAAAAAAGCTTGTCTTCTTCAATACTTCATGGACAAATCACCATCACTACCATCGACTGCCAAGAAGATCCAATTTAGGGCGGCGATGGATAATTAGGGTGGCAATAAAAGGTGGTCAACGACAACGATCTTTTCCCAATTTCTCTTCTTCCGGTAAACCTAACTCCACCACGGTCATCCCTCAATTCTGACGAACACAACAATCACTTATAAGTAAACCACTAACACCATCACTATCATCTTTTTGTTCTTCCTCCCTTTCGACATCCAACCTTAACTCTCAATTTTCTTGATGGGTTTCATGGCGATGATTTCGTGGTCTATATAACACCATCACTACCATCGTAGGCATATATAAGAGATGATCGATTTTCTAGCAACGGAACGATTATTGAGGTTCCTCAAGCAAAGGAAGAGAAATGACATCAACAAGAACGAGTTGAGGTCAGAGAAGAAAGTCGAGATAAGGGGCAAAAGAGATGGGCTCACAATATGGAGAGAGAGAGAGAGAGAAAGAGGGGTTGGATATATTTCTTGTCTTTTTAAAAGAAAATAAAAAATCGAATAAATATTCATAAGAGTATTATAGTCTTTTTATATATGATAGGGATGGAAAATACAACAAAATTAAGCTATAGAACTGTCCGAATGCAAAACAAAAATAAGGATCAAACATATAATTTTGACAAAGTGTAATGACTATTTTAGTAATTGGTTGTATTTAAAAAACAAAGAGATAATATGATGGAGAATTACAGGATACATAATTGGTAGGGAGCATTCGATATTTACTATGAAAGCGTAGGAGTGAGAGAGACCGGAGAGTGAAAGAAGGACAAGCAACTAGCAAGGAAGGAACTTTATATTTCGCTTTTTATTTATTTATTTATTTATTTATTTATGATGTACGCATCCATCCATGGCTCAACACTGAAACCCCACCACATTCACGGCTCACCCCCAAAATCAAATAAACATTCCCATGGAGATGGAGGTCAAATGACGAATGCTGATGTATAATAATAGATCAACATAAAAAGGTTTGCTTTGTCTACTCCTCTTATTTCTTCATCGATTCAAATTTAATTTCCGCTTCAAATCTCAACTTATGAACATGATTTCTTCATGCTTAATTTTCTTTCTTCATATGGTTTTACTTTTCTGTTTTTTTCACAAATTCCAAGTTTTCTTGAATATTTGTTCTTGTTATGTTGTTAATTTTCCACTTTTTTTTTTTGGTTTGTTTTTATGCTTAATCATCTGAATACTTAATAACTTGAAGAACCCACTAAAAATGTTCATTTCTGGATTAGCAAAACCCAATATGTCTTGAAACCGGTTCTTCGAATTTTGTTAATTTTTTTTTTTTTTTTTTTTTTTTTTAATTAACCCGTACTTTAGATCTTAAAGAACCCATACAAAATGTTCATATCTGGATAAAAGAAAACACTAAAAATGCTCATATCTGGGTAATTAACTCGTTTTTATTTACTTGGTTTTTTGTGGTGATTAACTTGCTTTTCTGTTTTAATCGATCATCAATTCTGTAATCCACCAAATAATTTTGAACTTTACGGAGCAAAAAAGACCCAATATCTCTTGAAGACTTGTTATTATTATGATTTTTTGTTTTTAGTGCTTCAAAAAACAAATCATTTTTGGTCAAAAAAGACCAAGATTTGTTGATATATATATTTAGTTTTTTTCAGTTTTAGTGGTTAATAAGATATAAATGATAATGGATAGGTGAGAGGAATGGTACGTGAAGAAGTTGCACTTGTTATACAATCAAGCAATTCGAATTCGAAAGAAGGCAGCAATCATAGTAATGGAGGACCAATCTCTGTTCTCGACACACGCCGGAGCTCTAGCCCTTCCACCTCTACCTCCTCTTTCACCACCAACGTAAACAACATACACCAAAAATGGCCGGAGGAAATGGGTATTCCTATTTCTGAGTCTGTGGCAAATCTTTCCGACTGGTCGGAGCTACAGCCCATTGCACCGGAATTCTGCCTACAGCACAAAAGATTTGGGGTTGGCGTTGGATTTGATGACATGTTATCCGGTGGTTCTCATGAGCAAGACCACGATCTTCTCCGGTGGATCTCCGGTGACGTTGATGACACTTCTTTTACCCTCTTGCAAATTGACGAAAATGCCCCTCCCACCCCCTTAAATCTCACGCCTCAAAACCCACATAAAAATTACAATTCCCAACATCCGGGTCATCGAAAACCTCCTGCTTTCGATCAGAGTCATGAGTTTCTACTCAAGAAACAGAATCAGCAACTATCACTCCACCAACAGAAATCAATGGTAGCAGCAATGGCAGTGGCAAAGCAAGAACCACCATCGCCACCGCAGAAACAGCTTATCTGTGACCAGCTATTTGCTGCAGCTGAGCTAATGCTATCTGGAAATTTCTCTCATGCGCAAGGGATATTGGCGCGGCTCAATCACCAGCTACCTTCAGCTATGTCATCATGTAATTATAACCCCATTCAGAGGTCCGGTTTTTATTTCAAACAAGCTCTGCAAACGCAAATGGCGTTTCTAACACCAATTCCAAATCCAAATCCGACACTCTCCAATGGCATGTTCAAGATGTGTGCTTATAAACTTCTTTCTGAGGTCTCTCCAATCATACAGTTTATCAACTTTACTTCAAATCAAACACTTCTTGAAGCCCTTGGTGATTCCGATTACATTCATATCATTGATTTTGATATCGGATTCGGTGCTCAATGGGCTTCCTTCATACAAGAGCTTCCTAGGAAAAACAACAATGGCTGTTCCTTGAAGATTACTGCATTTGCCTCACCATCAACACACCACCCGGTGGAACTCGGCCTCATGCACGAAAATCTATCACAATTCGCTCACCAAATCGGGATTTCATTCCAACTTGAAGTTGTAAACTTCGATTCTTTCGATCCTAATTCGTTTTCAGTTTCGGGGAACTATGCAATTGCTGTGAATTTCCCAATCTGGTCAACTTCCATCCGTTTACCCGCCATTCCCTCCCTTTTACACTTCATAAAACAGGTTTCGCCAAGGATAGTGGTGGCCCTCGATCGTGGGAATGAAAGGGCAGATCTACCCTTTCCACAGTATCTCCTCCAGGGTCTCCAGTACTATGAAGTTCTATTGGACTCCATTGATGCCGCCAACGTGCCGCCATACACCGCCAACAAGATCGAAATGTTTCTATTGGAGCCACAGATCAATAGCATGGTGACCGGAAAACTTCAGTCGCCGGAGCCAATGCCACATTGGAAGACGCTCTTCACAGCCGGTGGTTATTTTCCGGTCACTATGAGTAGTTTTGCAGAAGCTCAGGCGGATTGTGTGGTGAAGAGGAGTCAAGCTCGTGGGTCGGGGTTTCATGTAGAGAGGAGGCACTCGTCACTAGTGCTTTGCTGGCAAAACCGCCAGCTCATGGCGGTTTCAGCGTGGAGGTGTTGATGAAATTCCGAAAGTAACCTTGACAACTGTTTTTAATTAATTTATTACCAATTTCATATTAATATTTGAATTGTCGTAAAATCTAATTGCTTGGAACTTGTTTATTGTATTATTGTTCTCTATCTATTCTGGAGTTATATATATATCTTATTTAATGAATGAATTAGTTGTACCTTGTGGATTAGAAAATTATAGGGGTGTCTGAGGCGGTTTGGTTCGGTTATCGGTCAAAACCGAACTATAATCACTACAGTTGGTTAATGTATTTCGATGACCATTAATTAGCGGTTACTATTGGGTTTGGTTAATGGTTTTAGTCTATTAGTTAATATGGGTTAACCATAATGGTCAAAGATAATAAAAATAAAAATATTTTTCTATAAAAATTGAAAAATGTAAAGTCTATCGTTATAAAAAGTGAATGATTATATATATATATATATATATATATATATATATATATATATATATATATAAATGTGTATTGAAAGAATATTATTTATTATATCTAACTCTAAATAATTTTTGTTTAATGGGGTAAAAATTCCAAATGACGGTCCTTAGATCTCTCGTCTTTTTTATGCGGATGATATTTTCTTTATGGGGGATTTGTCCGTTTCTAATTTCACCAATTTAGTATCTCTCATCTTTTTTATGCGGATGATAATCTCTTTGTGGGGGATTAATCCGGTTCTAATCACTAATTTAGTTCGTACTCTTCGATGTTTTCATGCTTCTTCTGTGTTTAAGGTGAACTTCCACAAGTCAAAGGTCTATGGTTTGGGGTCTTTGACAGTGAAATCACCGGTTGTTCCTGCATTCTTGGATGTGATGCTGCCTCCTTCCCGTTCACTTATCCGGGGTTCCTGTGGGAGCAAAAATATATATCTGAAAAAAACTGGCAGCCTATTGTTAAGTGAGTCAAAAAAAGATTGTCGACTTGGAAATCTAATAGGTTTTCTATTGGTGGTAGATTAACCTTTGTCAAGTCGGTGTTCAGTAGTCTTCCAGTTTATTATTTTTCCTTTTTTAGAGCTTTGATTTCTATCCTTAACAATCTAGAAAGAATTCGAAGGAGGTTTTTTTGGGGGTGGCAATAAGGAAAAACAAAAAATCAACTGTGTCGCTAGGGGAAGATGGTGGGTTGCGTATTGGCTCCCTTTTCATGTTAAATCAGGCTCTTCTCATTAAATGGATTTGGAGGCTCAAGCGGGAACCCAAATCTATATGGTGTCGAATTGTTAGTGGGATTCATAATTTAGACAGTAACCCTATTGTTGCCCTTGCTAAAAGAAAAAAAAAAAAAAAAAAAAACTTGGTGGGTGTTTGGGAGAATGTGATTAGTGTTATTGGTGAGCTTCAAAAGTCAAATATATATTTACCCTACATTTTGGAAATTGTTGTGGGTGTCGAGTCCAACACTCTTTTTTGGTCTGATAATTGAAGAGGAGGGGGGGGGGGGGGGGATAACGAGCTGCGTTTAGGTTCCCTTGTCGTTATGAGCTTGATAAGAAGAAGTCTTGTCTCATCTTTGATAGAATTGTTGAGGGTGTTCACAAGTTCGTTTGGGCTTGGAAGAGGATTCCAAAATTGCCTCCGAAGATTGATGAACTTTCAGATCTCTTAAGCCTTTTGGGTTCGTTCGCCTTGGGCCCTGATATTTGGAAATCTAAACTCTTTGGGGGTGGGATGTTTTACGTGCGCGATCTCAGAGCTATTATTGACTCTAAATTGGCGGTCTCAGTAAACAACCCTACTGTTTGGATTAATGTGGTTCCTATAAAAGTTATTATCTTCACTTGGCAAGCCTGCATGAAACGTATTCCCTCTACATCTATTGTTGCCCTGAGAGGTTTTACGACCAGGTCAAATGTGTGTCACCTTTGTTCCTCCGACATTGATGAAACCAATCTTTTCTTGGTCAGCTGCCCCTTTGCTAAGGAGATTCTGGACTGGATTCTCGCCTGGTGTAGAATTCCCTCTTGTGCGTTCAGTTCGGTTGGTGATCTCGTTTCTTTTGCTGCAAATAGGGGAAGGTGACCGAAGAAACGCAAGATTTTTGTTGCTATTATCTATGGTTTCGTTTGATGTTTGTGGAAGGCTAGAAATGACAAGGCTTTTAACCAAATATGGTGCGTCCCTAGGAGTTTAGTGGATAATATATGGGCAATTATAGAAACCAAATCTGGTGCGTCCCTAGGAGTTTAGGGGAAGGTGTCCGAAGACACGCAAGATTTTTTCTTTGGTTTCTAGTTGAGTTAAATATATGGGCAATTATGGAAATTGTATTTGGGAGGTTTGGAGTGGTTTTCCTTTTGACATTTGTGGAATTTTAAAAAATAGTAAAACTTATAAAATGACATGTGAAAAAAAAATCAAAATAACCACAAAATGATATTTAGCAAATTGAATGGGATTATGACAGATGGCAAAAACCCTTTATATATTAGAGTAGTGTAGCATCCTGAAAATTTCAACAAATTTAAACTTTTCAAAATGGTCCTTTTACTAATAAAATGTTTACAAAAATAGAGTTCTCAAACATTATTTGAAAATCATAGTTTCCCAAGATCCAGTCTGTTGTAAACCAATGATGTGTACGGTCATGCCTTCGCCTTGCCAAAATCATCCGAAACACCTGAAATAAAATCCAAAATTGTAAGCCATAAGCTTAATGAGTTCCCCAAAAATACCCAAGGTTTAAAAGAATGTAATTCCGCCTCGAGGCGTTTTCCTTTCGCCTCACGAGGCGTAAGCCTCGAGGCGGAGCGAGGCGTAAGCCCGAGGCGAAATTAATATATATATATATATATATATATATATATATATATATATATATATATTATAAAAAATAAAATACTAAACATATAATTGAAACTACAGTAATATAAAATTGAATCTTCAAGGGTCAGAACATATATGTTTATAAATTTTGGTCATATGCATCCAATTTATGCCAGAATATGTGTGGGAATCAAGAAATTGGATATCTAAACAACATTTGGTAGACTCAATTGAATGTATGGAACATCAATTTCATCAATTGAGGAAGAATTACAAGATGTGAAGCAGAACAGTGCGATTGGAAAAGAAAAAAGTCAAAATAAGTCAAAATTAGACTAAAAATCAAGGCATATGTTTCTGAAATTGGATATCCAAACAACATCTGGTAGACTCAATTGAATGTATGGAACATCAATTTCATTAATTGATGAAGAATTGCAAGATGCGATAAAGACCAGGTGGGATTGGAAAAGAAAATAGTCAAAATTAGACTAAAAATTCAAGGTGTACGTTTCTGAAGAACGCATCGCCTCTACCGATTCATTTACACTTCACCTGGAAGAAGCGTACGTCTCAAATCCAACCACAGAGGCGTCGCCTCTAGTTTGGCCATGGTCCGCTTCGCCTAAGGCGCGCCTCAAGGCGTACGCTTCTGACGATTTTTAAAACGATGAAAATACCAATGACATACAATCATAACCATATCATAGCAAACAAACATCATGCATATAGAGTCTACAGTAAGACTGAATTGCCCCTACCGGGCCTGCATTCTAACTGACCCGCTCTCAGAACCTTCAGCATGTATGGTCCGCCCACCCGGGCCTTCAGCCTGTCTGGACCGTTCTTCGGGCCTTCGGCCTGACTGATATGCCCGTATAGGGTCTGCAGTATATCCGGTCCGCCCTGGGTCTGTTCACCTTCAGTACAAAGCAGGACCGCCTCAACCCAACCAAACACAATATGTCAACATATAAACAATCATGATCAAGTAGGCACATAATACGTGCAACAAAAATCATACAACTCACTACTACCTACTAATCCTCTTACCACATTAAGTCCCGCTACCAGCTAACCCCCATAGAATGTGTAACCATAAGTAACCAGAGGTGAGATAGCCACCCGAACAGATAGTCCTACTCTACAGCCACAACCAAACAATGAATAGGAAAGAGAGCCTAGACCAAGAGTTCTCAGGCTATCCTACGTGACCACCGACAGTCCCTAAGGGCACTCCATATATGATAACCAGCAAGCACAGATAACATACAGTTCTATAGGTTATTACCACAAAGCAACAAACTCCATACTAGGATACAAATCTAACTGATCACTACATCATATTAGCATACTCAATACCAGAACACAGATCTAGCAGATCACTACAGCATAAAAACATACTTAATACCAGAACAACGGATCTAATAGATCACAACATCATAAGAGCATATTAAATATCAACAATCCAAGGAATGCATAACCGTATATACTCAGAGGTGAGATAATCAGCCGGACAGGCGATCCTACTCTAAAACCAAAACCAGACAATGAACAGGTAAGAGAGCTTAGATTAAGAGTCCTTAGTCTATCCTACATGACTACATACAGTACCTAGAGAAATCTTACTAGAAGATAATAAATACTAGTAGGTCGACATTTGTGCCTTCGAGCCACGGGGACAGCGACGTGAAACTTACATCGATGTGCGTGCAGAAACCACTATAGCAATGAAGGGCTCTACCAGCTTCAACTCACTTCCAATCACCTATATGAAGATACTTGAGTCAATACTCGATCACATGTCATAGTCACATGCAACAGTGACTACTTCACATGAAATGACGATTAGGGTTTCACATGAAATGACGATTAGGGTTTCACATGAAATAACGATTAGGGTTTCATATGAAATGATGATTAGGATTAAGAAATAACACTTAACCCATTAAGGACTTAATCAATTAAGGTTATGATTGATTAATATTTGACTTAGTCGCTTGTAGCTAGAAATGCAACGTTTTAAGATGTGATTAGAACATGAAGGAAGGTACAAGTCTGTTTTGGAATTTGAAATAACGATTAGGGTTTCATATGAAATGACGATTAGGATTAAGAAATAACACTTAACCCATTAAGGACTTAATCAATTAAGGTTATGATTGATTAATATTTGACTTAGTCGCTTGTAGCTAAAAATGCAACGTTTTAAGATGTGATTAGAACATGAAGGAAGGTACAAGTCTGTTCTGGAATTTGACTCTAAAAGACCTGAGTCCAAGCAATGCATCATACAATGAGAGGTCATTAGGACATGACACATCGGTCTATTATGATAATCGAAGGAAGAAACTTATCTCAAGTTTGTTAAAGAAAGAGTCTCCAATAAATATCTACATTGCGACATGAAGATCATGATTGGAAGTCTAACATGAGATCGAGAGCGGATCCAAGATCGGGCACCGCCTGCAGTCAGGAAGTCTTAGAGTTAGAAACTCGTTCGAAGAAACATGAAAGTTACGTTTATTACTTAGGATGAAGAGATAACGTATGGAGTCATCATGTGAGTCCTGTTTCGTTGATGATCCCAAGACTTAATCAGCCTAAGGGGGAGATAATTGTAACGTCCGTAGATCCGGGCTAGTCAATTTAGAGATAATAGGGGTCGAAAACAACTCTTCGACAAAAGATTATTTAGAATAAATAATCTTAACCAAGGTGTAGAATATGTCTCAAGGGTTCCGTACATATAAAGAGCGCCGAAATCCGAGTTATAACGAAGAAGTTATGACCCATCGAAGTTTCGCGACGGAACCGGCACGACACCGGGAAAACGTAAATAGTGAATTTATGATAGTGCGACTTTTAGCCTTAGTGATCTAAATGAAAGTCGTATAATATGTAAACCTGAGAGCATCCATAAAAAGAATGCCCAAATCTGACTTCGTATGAGGAAGTTATGATTTTTCTAAGATTTAGCTTAGCAATCCACAGCCCGAAACTCGAATTCTAGTTCGAGCGGTTTTTTGGCCTACGCGACCTAAATGATATTTGAAGATCTCATTAATATGAACTCAACGGTAAAAAGACAGACGAAAACGGAATCCGTATGAAGGAGTTATGAATTCTTCTCGGTCATTTAACAGTCTAATCTCCTCATACTGTTAAATTTAGGATCGGTCGAGAATTAGCCGATAGATTCTAAATGAAAGTTGTAGATCTTGTTTTTACCTACGCATGGATATAAAGAACGTCGAAAATGGAGTTCGTATGCGAAAGTTATGAATTTTTGAAAATCGGCTGATTTCCACCGTGTGTGCGATGTCACGTGTCAGCACCAGGCTATGCCTGGCTATAGCCAGCCTGGCTTACGATGTGAGTACCTTAAAACTCACGAGGTAAGTGACCCTCCAACCTCCTATAAATAAGAGATGAAGCCCTCTTCAATCCTCACAACTCCCCTCACTTCCCCTTCTCTCTAGAACTTCTCTCTAGCCCCGAACCCCCCCCCCCCCCCCAAAAAAAAAAAAAAAAAAAAAAAACAGCTTAGGGAACCTCCCTAGAACGATGCGGAAAGCCCCGTAGTGCCTACGGCTCCAAGAAGAAGAGCCTCTTGGCTTGGGAACGCTGCTCCGGCGGCGCCCAGTTTTGAGAAAAATCTGTGTAAGTGAGCTACACCTACGCTATTTTTAATATAGTTTTTATTTAATTATAGTAACGTTATTATGAAATTATAATAAATACTTGGGCTATTATTGGTTATATAAGTATTGTTTAACGCTTATATAATAGTAATAATTGTTAGACTATAAATTAGTCTCGGTGATATTAAACTAAACCTAATGGTAATGATACTAGGTTTTGTTGAGGGAAATTGTTTTAAGAGTAATGAAGCGCTTTCTGAATTCAGAATCACCACCGTATCAGGTGAGTGCATGGTCCCTTTCATCTTACAAATATATATGAAGTATTTAATATAAATTACGTGCTATGTGCAAATTGTCTGAATACTTGCTCTCTATGCTGGGTGATATTTTTATACACTTTTTAAATGATTTAAACTGTATATGTATTTTATATCCACAACATGTGTTGCGTAAAATAAGGGTAGACGTAATAGTTGATGTGTGACCAAATAAAATAATGAGAGGCTTCGATATAGATGTTATTGATGATCTAGTCATCTAGCAGAGTATCGATTGATCGTATTATATATACGTAATAATAAAATAAAAAAAGATCAAATCTATTTATTTATCATTAAAGATAAAGTTAAAGTGAGATCAAATCAACTATTTGGAAATAATACGATAGATAATAACCGGAGAGGCACGTCATGAAACTAAACGAGATATACAGTGAAAGAATATTTAATTATTGTACAGATCACGAAACCAAACGAGATATACAGTGAATGGATATTTAATTATTGTAGTAGGTAAAATAACGATTGAAAAAAATGAACTTTTTTATTATTAAATTGCTATAATTATTATAAATTTAATTAAATAATAATAATAATAATAATAATAATAATAATAATAATAATAATAATAATAAATAATAATAATAATAATAGTAATAAAACAAAATGACAAAAAAGATGGTAGCTAGAGAAATTTCATAAATCATGAGATACATACAATAATACTTTTTCGTATACATTTAACTAAACAATGTTTATTTGTCAGTGAAATTAATAAAATAAGTTCAATTATCTAACTATTAAACTATGGTACGATTTAATTAAAATACATTAAATATCATCTCAAAATGTATTAAAATGTTTATAGACTTCTAAACTCGTTTTTATTATATTACTATTTATAAAATTCAAAGTATAGATTTTATGGTCATATTTGTAATTTAAAAAAAGCAAACAACATACATATTGATATTTATATACTTTAAAATTGAGCACCCATACCCTAATCCTCTATACGTATGAGACATTAAATAGGTAAAACATGTAGGGATTAGATAGCAGAAGAAAAGGCAATAATTTCTTATTAAACACTTGTACTTTTTATTAATCACCGAATCAACAACATTACGTGAAAGGAGACACACACACACACACAATCAAGAAGCCAGTCCGGAACCTAATTCGATCAATCTGATTTTGAATCCATCACACAGACCAAAAACCCAAAATTCAAAGCTTTTGAACAACCCTGTTACAATACACCATTTTAACAACAAATAATTAGTATATAAGAAAATCATGCTACTTTCTAATTCTATCTATATATCTTCTTCTTGATGATGCTTATTAACCAGCTGTACAGTTTTACAATCACAAAAACAGGTACAGGTAAAACAAAACACATGAAGAAACTGCATTTTACATTTTACAATTACAAATTCAAATCGATCAATGAATCTGGCTTGGATCCAATTTGAAGATTGTTGAGAAAAGGGATGCCTAAACTATTGATGCAACTGAAAACAGCTTCAGCCTTTGCTACCAAGCCTGCTGACCTGTAGAAATGCACAGCTGCACTCATGATGAACCTGTCGTGTTTTACACCAGCAGTAGCAGTAGCAGTAGCAGTAGCAGTAATGGTTTCAAACAAAGAAATGCCTTTTTCCACATATCCATAGTCCAAGTACAATCTAAACATGGTTCCATAACACCCAACATCAGGTTCATATCCTGTGACCAGTAGCAGCTGATTAAAAAGCCTCTCCGCTTCCCCCACCAATCCTGCTTTTGCATACGCACAGAGTAATACGTTATAATGAGGAGCACATGATGATGATGTTTGTTTGTCCATGAAAGTAGCAATGGCTTCCTCTGCTTCCATATACTTGTGGGCAGCTGCATAAGCTCGAACAAGGGCAAGATACGTGTATGAGTCGGGGGACCACCCGTCTCTTTGCATCTCCCTAAATAACTCTTCCGCTTCTTTGTAGAATCCCCCACCCCCACTCCCATACACATTCATCATAATATTGTAGCTCACCTACACGTTTAGATATATTCATTCAACAATCAAATACAAATTATATATATATATATATATTCTGATTCCATTTTAATTATATAATTGTACCTTCCCGGGTTTTATTCCCTCTTTCTGCATTTGTTTAAACAGGATAGATGCTTCACCAGTTCTACCTACAAAACGGCAACCGACTTAGAAGAAAATGGTTTGTTTGTATTTTTTTAATTTGAAAATCCAGAAGCGGTGTAAGTGTATTACCAGCCTTCCCATAGTAACATATCAAGTTGGTGTAGGCTTTCTCATCCAGAGCCACACCCTCTCTTCCAGCAGTGTTGAACATCTCTATGGCTTTATCCAGATCACGACTACGCCCATGCACACTGCATGCACGTGTGTCAATACTCCTCTTTTTATTAATAACACACATAAATTTTGACAACTCCATATACATACGTACGTAATCATGGTGTTGAATGTTTGAATCGATGGTGCAACACCATTTGCACGCATTCTCTCATAGATGCTGCTAGCAAATTTCAACCTACCTGCACAGTTAAGAAAATGTCATCCCTTTTATTCAAAACCCAAATAAATAAATAAATAAATAAGAGGAAGCAAACCAAACCAGCATCTAGCATCGCTTTTATGAAGGTATTGTATGCCACTGTATCAAGCTCCATCTTCTTACACAAACAATCATTAATCACATTCCCTGCCTCACGATGCATTCCTGAATCATCATCATCATGTATGTCTTGAAATTGGGTACAGAAGGAAAAACATTTGCTTGGAAAATCAGATTCTTACCACGACTTGCCAAAGCATTCACAAGCATGCTGATTGCAACATCACCAATATCATCACCTTTTTTATTTGCCTGTTGGTAAAACAAGTATGCCTCATCCACTTTTCCAGATTTGGCAAACACATCAATCATACAGCTGTACAAACGTTTTTCTGCTGCCATCACTTCACACACGTGTTTGGCTCTCTCCATTTCATTTTGCTTCCCATATAAATATATCATAGATGTGCATGTACAAATCTCTGGCTTGCAACCCAGCTTCAGTAACACCTCAAATACACTTTCTGCTTTCCAGCTCAATCCTACAAACAAACATGTCAGACTCTAACTTACTAATGATTAGCAATTAAAACAAAAAATATATATACAGATATGTCACCTTCTTTGATGAGATTGTTAACCAGTTGACTGGCTGCTAACAAGCCATTACCAGTTTTCAACAGCAGCTTCAGTAGTGTTTCTTCCTTCTTACTTGCAGTTTCACAAAGACTCAGCAGCAGCTCAAACACCATTGGGTCTAAGGAATCTGAATCAGCTTCTTCAAGTCTTGTAAACTCTCCACTTATAGCCATTGAAATGGTTTGAATGAACCTGTCATCATCATCTTCAAACAAACTGTTTCTGCTAAGCTCTTGTATCATTTCCTCAGCATCACTTGCCATGTTTTCTTTGCAATATACCTTCACGACTGCTTTAAGAAGCACCTTATCAAATTTTACTTGTCTTTTTCTTATCTGGGTGATGAAGTCTTTCGCCTTCTCAGTAAGTCCAAGTTTCATATACAAAGTCAGCATGCTGTTGCAAGAAGAACAATCCGGAAAACCTGTCTCTGAAAGAGACTGCAATGTAACTTCAGCAGCTTCTACATCCTTCTTCATAATGTAGCATTCCAACAAAACAATATTGGCAAACCTCGAAAATTTCACCTTTTTAGATCTCATCTTCTCCATTACATCCAGTGCTTTTTCACAATTCCCAGCATTCAGATGGACTTGTGCCATTGTTATATATGTTTTATCCTCACTTAACAGACCCAACTTCTCAATCTCTTCAAATGTTTTCATGGCATCCTCATAAAGACCAAGCTTACCATATATCCTAATAAGCAAACCATATATCACTTCATCTGCTACCACTTTATATCTTTCCATTTCTGAGAAGAGAGATAGAGCTTTAGAGTAATTTCCACTTCTGTAATACAGGGATAGAAGCGAAGCACACGTGAAGTTACTAGGGACTAATTTCTGTTGTCTCATGTCTTGATAGAGTCTTAAAGCTTCATCTTGGATACCCTTTTCCTTTTCCTTCTCCTTTTTAGAAGTTACTGTAATAAGAAGGCTATAAGTAGCCTCCTCAGGTACAAATCCCATAGCCTTCATCTCCTTAAAACTCCTGAAAGCTTCATCAGTGAGACCGATTTTCACCAAGGAGTTGATAACAACTGTATATGTAAAATGATTGGGGGAAACACCAGTTGCTATCATCTGTCCCCAAATCTGTGAGACACTTTGGTGAAAAGATTTCTTCTGCAAAGAAGATAGCATGAAATTGTAAACTGCAACAGAGAGGAGGATACCCCTTTCTTGAACAGCAGAGTAGAATGACAACATGGCCTTGTGGCGTCCCCATTTAGCATATGCACACAGCATAGTTCCACAAGCGACCTCATCTGGCTCACACCCACTTTCAAGCATTTCCAAGAATGTTTCTTCTGCAAGCTTTATTTTTCCAGCTTGTCCATAAGCTCGAAGCACAAGCGTATACACAATAACACTAGGTCGGTAAGTTAACTGCAAATTAATGGAACATTGTCATCATATAAAAAACCGAAGAAAGCTGAAACATCAGAGTCCTTTATATTATACCTGTAATTTCATCCAAGCAAGAAAGTCTCTGACTTGTCTCCAGCTCCTTTGCTCTTTCAACACAGTACACATCTCTCTAAAAGTAAGCTTAGTAACGAAAGAAGCCATGACTTGCCTCATGTCGTAAGAGCCATCTGGCAAACCTGAAAGGCTGCGCACACGCTGAATGGCTGCCACCACATGCCGACCATAGAGATGGCCGTTCCTATCGTCTTCCAGATATTGAATCATCTGCTCGGGGGACCTCTTGATCCATTTGGGTGTGAGGGCTTTTGAACCCTGGTTGCGCCTCAATGCGCTTAAATAACGGGCTTTCCCTTTGATAATGCGTCGGGCGTTGTCGTCTGAAAGAGGGTTTTTAGGGTTTTTTGATTTGGGTTTGGGTTTGTTATTGTTGTTTCCATCGCTCAGCGACCATGGGTCTAGTGAGACCGAGCATGAGATAATGGATGAGGAATTAAGATGCACGGGATAATTTGAAGGGTGAGGATTTAACTGTATTGGGTTTAGGAACGAAGACTTTAAAGCTTCCATGGATGATGTTCACCAGCACTTCAGGGGCATGGGTGTTCAACATCTAGTAGTGGAACTAGCATCTTAACGATTCAGCGATATTACGCAATTTAACACTTTGACAATCAAACTAGGCCGACCACCTAATTAGAGATTATCAACACAAACAAACTTGTATACATAATATTGTTGAAGAACAACTAACGATTAAAGCACTAGCACTTAAATCAAGCTTACAACAAGAAGAATACTGATTAGAAGGTTAAGAAAGGAAAAATCAATATACCTAGTTGCGATTGCGACTGAAGAACAGCAGATTCTGGAGTCGTCGGTGGTGGAGCTGTCGATTGTGGAGGTGCCGATGAGAACTTGGAAGGCGAGGGCAGCCGGTGTACGAATGGTGCAAATGGTCCCTCTATCCGATTAGAAAGCGAAACTAAAATCAATCAAAAGCTTTGAATCTAACGGTATCCTCTTAGAGGAAACAACTAACAAAGAGTTTTTGATCAGCAATTGTTTTTTTTTTTTTTTTTAATTTTATTTATTGGTAGTTTTTATTACTTGTAGTTTTAAATTTTCATAAATTTCTAAAACTTTCTATTTTTATTTTATTTTTAATAATTTTTTAAAAATATAATTTTACTCTTTTTTATTTTTTACTTTACTTTTTGCTATTAATACAGTTTGTATGATGACTAAATTGCAAGTGTTCCATTTACAAGCTTGTATAATGTTTTTTTTTATATTTTTCACATAACAAGTGCTATATGATATTGAGGGTGTGTTCGGTAAAACTAGCTGGTAGCGGGTAGCAGTTAGCTGGTAGTGGGTAGCGGGTATCGTTTGATTTTGGAGCGTTTTGTTGAAAGCAACTCTATGTAGCTTTTAATTTTGAAGCGTTTTGTTTAAGTTAAAAGCTAAACGCTCCTGTCACCGAACGAGACTTTTTCTTTTTACAAGTATTTTCTTAAAAGTTATAAGTTAGAAGCTTCCAAACATTACATGCTGAATAAGCCCTGAATCAATTATCACTCCTCTAAATTAGTTAAACACAATTCACAAGCATAGTACTCCTAACGGTAATATGTTTACAACACCTTCCACAACAAAAACTTTAGAACCATTTTCAATCCAAAATTCTCTTTAAAACCTTTGTCAAGCATGACAGATTAAAGAATGATCAAAGAGATTTGAGTGCAAATGAAGGGAACAAGCAAAACAAAGGATTAAGCCATTTTCCCGTAAATCACAGTGCACATCACTTTACTTTAACTTTAGTTTTCTTTTAATTATGATTGTATAGAATAAGAATCGTAGAAGAAAAATTGAGGCTATGATAACATCAATAAGTTCATGTGATAATCGTTGAAGCAACCAAGGCAACAAAAGTGGTAATAATTTGACGATAGTTCGGGTGATAATGATTAGTGTCTAAGCTCGAAACTGTATTTGGTATGAACTTGACCCGGTTGTGAATGATCATTTTGGGTGCCTTCACCAAATCAACTTGACAAGGTAATTTATGGAGAGAAAGGAAATTATGATTTATTAATATATTATGTGATTAACATATTAAAAGGGAAATCATATTATTTGATTAATATTAGTCATAAATTAATTAGGAATTAATTTGGTGGCTAAAAGAGATTAATTAAATATAGGGGCTTAAACTGTCAAATGTGTGATAGTTGGTTTTTGGCTAGGGAAACCAAATGGATTAAAGGGTGAATGAAATTATGATGAAAGTCCATCATAATTTCCTCCATAGGTGTAACATACACGTTTTGAAATCGTATTTTAAGTAAATAATATTATGAAATATTATGTAAATTTGAATGTTGAGTTCTAGCGGATAGTTTTTACTAGAATTGAAGTAAAACTACGCTTAGAATCATTCAGAATGAAACATCCCAGAAGTACGACCCAAAAATTTTGTTTTTAAATAATAATAAAAGTCATAACACTGAATGCCATATAATAAAACCATACGTCGGATATCTCAAAAGCCATAATAAAAGTGTCGTATCAAAAATTGTATCAAATCACATCTAAGTATCTGAACAAAACTCCCAGGAATAAAGCTGAAGTTATAGTGTGTGCGATGTCATCATCCCGAGCTCTTCCCTTTACTTGCGGAAGTACCTGAAACCAAAACTGAAATTGTAAGCACAAAGCTAAGTGAGCTCCCCCAAACTACCACATACCATACAATTGATGGGTTTTGTACATAAGAACATTCCTATGTGCGCATACAAACCCTAATGCTTGGATCTAGGTTTCTCTAATTAAACATGCATTGAATCCAATACTCCTAATGGCTAATTAGGTATAAGAACAACACAAAACCAGAGTTAGAATCATACCTTGAAACACTTGTTTGATCTTCTTGTTCTTGGAGCTTTAGAGTCACAACTGTCACTCCTCTAATGGCTTACAAACACCAACTAGCAAAGAGAATGATTTGAGAGAGAGGAGAGAGGAGGAAATCGGCCAGGGTATCCTTGCTGTAGAGGAGGTCCCGATTTCCTATCCCAAGGCTCCTAGGTTTCACCCTTAAACCCTAATTGGATAACTTAGACTCTAAGCAATCCCAATCCTTTCCATAGATAAGCCATGGACAAATTTGAGGCTATCCCAATCCCTAGAATTCGTCCAACCCATATCCTATAAGGATTTACAGCCTAAAGTGTAACTATCAAACAATTGACAGTTTATACCCTCTTATTTAATTAATCTCTTTAAGTCACCAAATTAATACTAATTAATCTTTTACTTATATTAATCAAATAACAATATTATTATTCATTATATTATTATCATAATATATTAATAATATCTATTCTCTCATAATAAATCATCCTACCAAGTTTCTATGGTGAAGGCAACCCAAAAGGACCATGCACAATCGGGTCAAATACTTGCCTAATATAGTTGCAGCCTTAGACACTATTCCAACAGTCTCCCACTTGGATAAGTCTAGTAACTATATGCACAGGTACAATCCGATTTGCAATCGTAGCTCTCAAAGACGCTGTCAAACTCTGATCTAATCAATCTTGTCCTTTAGATAAGAGATCGTACATTCTTCTGTTAGATATCATGCTGACAATTCAATGGAATTATTAGTCTAGCATTTGGTTTCTCGATCTCCGATTTATTCGACATAGAACTTAATCGAACACATCAATTCAGTTCTGACCGGGCCCGGCACATAAGTCAAATCAAATCATCGAGCGGCCAAGATATCACCTTTTCCTTCTTAGGATAAAAGTTACAGATAAACTTCGACTTATATGCATTTACTTATTCATTAATCAACTATACACAACAATGCATTTTATAACATCGAGTTACCAATGCATTTTCGCATTATCAATGTACAATCAATTAGCAAATAACAAACCATATATCTAGGTTTTAAGACTATATGATATTATCGTCTTGCGATCACCCTTTTTATCACATTCCATAAGGTGATTCCAGCAAGCGCGGGTTTGTTCCAATGCTCAAAACTAGTTCATAAGCACTCATGAACGTTGCAGCAATCTTTTGCTATGTCTAAAACCATTTAGACACTCTACACACCTATTCATGACAATCTTCATTCATATCTACTTCCGACATATGAACGATTGTGGACAATTTGAACAATTCGATTATTCTTAATAAACTCAATTATTCTGGAAGTCAAAACATGCAAAGTGAAACAATAGTTAAACAATTAACATAAGACAGTAACATTACTTATAAATAAAACTCCTTTATTTAATCATCAAATGTTAATTACATTTATCTATTATACGTTTCTAATACTATCTAATCTATGCTAATATCATCCTTCAGCCCAATACTCCTAGCATGCTGCAAATGCTTAACCCTACTCAGTCCCTTCGTAAGCGGATCTGCTGGGTTATCTTCTGATGATATCCTCTTCACTACGAGTTGTCCTTCTTCTACACGATGTCTAATAAAGTGATATTTTCTGTCGATATGTCGTGATCTACCATGATCTCTTGGTTCCTTGGTCAAGGCAACCGCTCCTTCATTATCACAGAAAATCTCCATGGGCTCCTTTATGGCAGGTACAACTCCAAAATCACCAATGAAGTTCTTCAGCCATATTGCCTCCTTCGACGCTTCGCTCGTTGCAATGTACTCTGATTCGCACGTTGAATCAGCTACGGTTTCCTGCTTGGAACTTTTCCAAGTTACTGCTCCTCCATTCAGGGTAAATACCCAGCCCGACTGCGAACAACAGTTGTCCATGTCGGTCTGAAAGCTAGCGTCACTATACCCTCGCACCTTCAAGTCATCACTCCCTCCGAGGACTAAGAACAAATTCCTTCATCCTCCGAAGGTACTTAAGGATATTCTTCACCGCAATCCAATGGGCTCTGCCAGGGTTCCCTTGATATCTACTAACCATGCTCAAAGCAAAGGCTACATCAGGGCGAGTACAAGTCATAGCGTACATGATTGAGCCAACTGCGGAAGCGTATGGAACTCGGCTCATTTCAGCTATCTCGGCTTCGGTACTCGGACTTTGAGTCTTACTCAACTTGGCATTACTTTGTATCGGTAATTCTCCCTTCTTCGAGTTTTCCATACTAAAACATTTTAGTACCTTCTCTAAGTAAGTGTTCTGACTAAGTCCTATTAGTCTCTTACTTCTTTCTCTTACTATCCTTATTCCCAAAATATAGGAAGCCTCTCCGAGGTCCTTCATAGCGAAGCACTTCCCGAGCCAGGACTTAACCTCCTGCAGAGTCGGGACATCGTTTCCTATGAGTAATATGTCATCGACATATAGAACGAGGAAGCTTACTACACTCCCACTGGCTTTGACATATACACACGATTCATCTTCGCTTCGTACAAATCCAAACTCTTTGACTTTCTCATCGAAGCAAAGATTCCATCTGCGAGACGCTTGCTTTGGTCCATAAATGGACTTCTCAAGCTTACACACTCTATTCGGATGCTTCGGATCCACAAACCCCTCTGGCTGAGCCATGTAAACA